GGGGAAGCGGGAGGGGCGGCCTGGCCGCTGCAGCCCCGGCCCGGGCCTCGCCTCTTGGCGGCTCCGAGCCCGGCCGTCTCGGGCAGCCCTTGGGTGTCGCCAGGCCTCGCGTTCAGCTGGAAAACACGGACGTTCTTGAGACGGGCGCAGCTAGGGAAGCCTCACGCGAAATGGCTTCCTTGACGGCCTCTCTGCCGGTGGGCCTGGACACGGAAGGCCCGCCTTGTAATTTTACGCAAAGTTTTTAGTTCTCTGCAGTCAGCATTTTAAGTAATTTGGAGGAAGCACATCGGAATGTAAAGGAACGGAGTTGCTTGCCATTTCAATGATCGTGTTTGGGGATAGGAGGGGTTTTTGGCCCTTCTCGTAGTTCAAATTTTTTTGTTATTTCCTGAGGTTCCCCCCCCCCCGTAATTAACTGCAGCATTAACCTCTCAGTTTAGCCAGAAAGTTTTTGGTATTGTAATGCCGTGGTTACTGGGTTGGAAGTGAACATGGGATTAAATAGACCTCACATCCTCCCGGAACCCTGGGTTTAAATCTTAACGTCGGTTAAACGAAAACGTTCTTCCGCAACCACTTTTTTAGTTATAAAAGTAATGTGACGCCACTTGTATATATATCACATGACCGTGGCAGGATCCGTGATCTTTGTTAGCCTGTTCCCTCTTCTGAAGGGGCTAATAATTGCCTTTACTTTGCCCAATTTGGGGGAATTAAGAGATAATGTATTGCTGTAGTAGCAATTCCGTTAAAAGATATTTTCTCCAGACGTTTGTGGTTCAGATATACAAATACCAGACTCAGTCACTAGTACTTATCACTTAATTTACAAAATACGAATTACTTTGATTTATGCTTTGTAAGGAAGGAATATACTTGACGATAGTGTTAAATTTGGAGTGATAGAAGTGGAATGTTTGCTTAGTATAGCTAAATTTAGAAGTGAATTATAGTGCAGCCACTAAGAAAAAGAATTTAACATTATTTAGTAAAGTTGAAAACAATCCAGTAATTCACTTTTATACCCTCAACTGTAAGGCCTAGAGAAAACCTCACACTCGAGCCCCAGGATCATGTTCAAAATGTTTTCATTGTTCATGACAGCAAGATATGGGAACCAACTAAAATGTCTGGATAAATTGTGGGTATTTTTGCAATTGGATACAATGCAGCAGTGAAAAAACTTGAATTAACTTGGATGACTTACAAACATGTTGAAGCAAGTCGTGGTAGGATGACACATTAATGGATACATGCAGATATGACAAAACTATTAAAACCAAGGGATTAGTTAACACAGTTCAGGATAGTAGCTGGCTTTAATAATAACATTATTTGGCCGAGACCTCATCTCTACAGTAAATAAAAAAATTAGCTGGGCATGGTGGCACATGCCTGTAGTTTCAGCTACTTGGAAGGCTGAGTGGAAGTCGGTGGAGGCTGCAGTGACTTTGAGCATGCCATTACACTCCAGCCTGGGCGACTGAAACTCTAATTCAAAAAAAGAATAGTAATAACATTATTATAAAAGAGAGGAAAAGGTGAATTACTGAACCATAGTGTTTATTCCATATTGAATGCGTATCAAATGACTTTAAAAAAAAACAACACAGCCAGGTGTGGTGGCTCAAGCTGTAATCTCAGCAGTCTGGGAGCCTAGGTAAGAGGATTGGCTGAGACCAGGGGTTCAAGACCAACCTGGGCTACTTGGTGAGACCTCATCTCTACAGTAAATCAAGAAATTAGCGGGGCGTGGAGGCGCGCATCTGTAGTTCCTGCTACTTGGAAAGCTGAGGCGGAAGGATCATCTGAGCCCATTTGGTTGAGACTGCAGCAGTGACTGGGAGCGTGCCACTGCACTCCAGCCTGGGCAATAGAGTGAGACTCCAACTAAAAAAAATTTTAAAACATTAAAAATTAGTTTAAAAAATAATGGCATTCTTTCATAATGGCTTCCCCAGCTTTAACTTTACTATGAAACTTTCTTGATTGAAATTGCTGTTTCACTTTTACTAAATATTACTTGCAGAACTGAAGGTTATTTGAAAAAGGAATGGGTATGATCAGTGTATGTGCGTATATATGGTTCAAAAATGGTATGCAGCCGGGCTTGGTGGCTCAGCCTGTAATCCCACGCCTTTGGGAGGCTGAGGTGAGTGGATTGCCTGAGCCCGTGGGTTCGAGACCCGCCTGGGCAGCGAGACCTCATCTCTTCCAATAAATCAAAAAATCAGCCCGGCGGTAGCGCATGCCTGTAGTTCCGGCTACTTGGAAGGATGAGGCGGAAGGATCGCCGGAGCCCAACAGGTCGAGGCTGCGGTGGCCGGTAGCGGCCACTGCACTCCAGTCTGGGCGACAGTGAGACTCCAACTCAAAACAAAAATGGTATGCATTGTATTTTTAAAAAACGTTTTCTTGAATGAGTTGGCTCAAGTACTGAATATTTAAAGTAGTATGATGCATGTATCTTCAAAGCCATATTAATTGCAAAGCCAAATTAAACTGTTAATATAAATATTGACTGGATAGGCCGGGCATGGTGGCTCATCCTGTAATCCCAGTGCTTTGGGAGGCCGAGGCAAGTAGATTGCCTGAGCCCCGCGGGTTTGAGACCCACCTGGGCAACTTGGGCGAGACCTCGTTTCTACAGTAATAAAAAATTAGCCGGGCATGGTAGCGCATGCCTGTAGTTCCAGCTACTTGGAAGGCTGAGGCGGAAGGATCGCCGGAGCCCAGCAGGTCGAGGCTGTGGTGGCCGGGAGCGTTCCACCGCACTCTAGCCTGGGCCATGGAGTGAGATTCCGACTCAAAAAAACGTATATATTGACTGGATAAAAACATTGAATGAGCAGCATAGTACACCAGGAAGTAGGATGTGTGCATAAAGATGGCATGGGTATGCTCAAAAGTTTTACAAGAGTAAGAGACATTCTTGGATTTTGAGACCAGCATTAATTACAACATAGAAGACAGCATGTTTACTAAGAACCATATGTTAAAAATATTTTAATGATACAGGGTACAATTCAGGATTAGGTATATACGTGGACATAGGTACAGGTAAAGTTTGGGTCTCCCTTTGGTCCCTGCTTTGCCTTGTTTGAGATCCAGTACCCTTTTTGATGTTATTTGCTCCTCCGCCTCCACCACCACCCTGACAGTATCCCAGACATGTTTCAAAGAGACGGGATCTTACTGTGTTGCTCAGACAGGTCTCCAGCTCCTGGCCACAAGTGATCCTCCTGCTTAGCCTCCCAAAGTGCTGGGATCACGGGCGTGAGCTGCCCTGTCCTTAAATGATACCTTTATTGTGAAATAATATGTTTTGAATAAATAACCAGGGCAATAGGGAGAAAAATGATTTTTTTTCTTAGTAAGAATGATCTGTTTAGAGCCTTAAAAGGAATTTCACTTTAAGAAGTTTTATTTTTTCCCTTTTAAATCATTAGTTTAAGGTTTGGGTAGCACTGGAATACAGCCGTAACAGGGAAATAACACCTTCTAGAGCCATATTAGTGTATGTGAACTAGGCGGGTGATCTCTAAAAATGGAGTTACGCACATTTTTATTTTGTAATTTGCAAGATTTTTTTTTTTTTTTTTTGAGGAGGATTCTCAATCTGTCACCCAGGCTGGAGGGGATGGGAACGTTCCCAGGCGCCACAGGCTCCCCTTGCCCGGCATGCGTGATGCTTCCACCTCACTGTTCCAAGGATGTGGGACTACGGGCGCGGGGCCCCTGACAAACCTAATATTTAGGAAATTTATTGCAGACAAGACGTTTCACTGGGTTGCCTCGCGCTCTTTCTGGCCTCTTACCTACCCCTCCCAGAGGGCTGGGATTGGGTGAGGAAGCCGACCCTTGCTTTGCAATACTTTTCTTCCTTCGTCATTGCGGTTCAGCTTTTGAATTATAAGCCTCGAGTCCTTCATCGTATAAAGAAAGCAGATGTCAAATCGCTTTTAGGGGTTCAGAG